CAGAAATGTAGCTTTACTTGTTTCAGTATTATCTGAACACCTACTCTGTGCCAGGCACCGTACTAGGCAGTAGAAAGAGAACAGGGAACAAAATTCACATGGTTCCTTCTTCAACTGACCATAAAATGCAAAAAACAAAAGCATGAAGCTAACTGCGGAAAACAATAGAACAACTCTTTTATTTTAAATGTTTACATTGCATGAACCCAAAACTTAAAAGAAACCCAGCGTTTGTTTTTTTCTCGACCTTTTTTACTGTTCTCCTCTAGGATTCACTACAGAAAGACAAATCCACCATGACCAAGGTTCCTTCACTGTCCCAGTAATCAACCATAGTGTTGAGAACATATTTTACTTCGCAAAAGAGGGGTCTCCTAGGCTGCCCCACTTACTTATGCAAGTGAAAATGACCAATACTCTGAGAGGACACCTGTGTTTTTCTGTCTCTAAAGTAACAAAATTGGGCCCCCTCTTACTTTCATGTATCCCAAAGAATTATTCTTTACCCAAAGACTGAGGGTCACACTGCAAGTTTATAAGCACAACTCTTCATAAGACCTCCAACATAAAGCTAAGGCAACAGAAATTCAAGAGATAAAAGATACAGAGAAGGCTCATGAGTCCTCAATTCAAAATCTCTCGTGAGAAAAAAAAATAAGAATGCAGTTAGCTGCCCAGGCTATGCAGCCAGGCTGCCTAGGTTTGAATACTAACTCTGATACTTTGGGCAAGTGATGTATCTGTGCCTGTTTCCTCAACTACAGAATATGCAAGAGAGGATTCAAGGAGATAATGTATGAAAAGCATGTGGCATAGGGCCTGGTCTCAAGTAAGTGCTCAACGGTTGGCAGCTCTTCAGTCTCTTCTTCTCATTAGAGTCCAATATTAATTTAACTTTGAGTCTTACACTAAGAGAGTGTTATTAAGTCTTAGAAAATCCTTGATAGGGTGGGCCTTGATAGGATATAAGGATCAGACCCTAAGATCCAGGGTTAGCAACAAATACTACAACTCAAGATACCAAGGTCAATGGTTCTATCCCCATGGGGAAGAACATGCAACAAGCTGTTTTACAGTCTCAGAAAACATCTGTTAACTTGAACAACCTTTGGTCAAAAGAAAGAAGTGACTGTGATAGTGCAGATGTACAAAGAAAATCCATTAACAATAATAGAAAATATCCATAGTATTGTCTGTACATTATGAAGGGCCGCACTTGTTACAGGGAAGTTTGTGGGTTCATTAAACAGATTAGTGTTGTGGGTTTATTAGACTTTAGATTATTATTATTTTTGAGTTGGGGTCTCACTGTCACCCAGGCTGGAGTGCAGTGACATGATCATGACTCACTGAAGTCTCAACCTCCTGGGCACAGGCAATCCTTCTGCCTCAGTTTCCCGAGTAGCTGGGACTGTAGGTGTGCACCACCATGCCTGGCTAACTTTTTTAAAAAAATTTTCTGTAGAGAAAAGGTCTTGCTATGTTGTCCAGGCTGGTCTGGAACTCCTGGGCTTAAGCGATTCTCCCATCTCAGCCTCCCAAAATGTTAACATTATAGGTATGAGCCACTGCATCCAGCCTACACTATTTTAAAATCCCAATATGCTCTTGAACATTTTTTTCCCATTCTATTTCTGTGACTTCTCCTTTGTTACTTGCTTATCGCCCTTAACTGTTAAGTAGAAACTAGCCGGGCTCAGTGGCTCAGCCTGTAATCCCGCGCCTTTGGGAGGCTGAGGTGAGTGGATTGCCTGAGCCCGCAGGTTCGAGACCAGCCTGGGCTACTTGGGGAGACTTCATCTCTACAATAAATCAAAAAATTAGCTGGGTGTGGTAGCACACGCCTATAGTTCTAGCTACTCAGAAGACTGAGGCCGAAGGATCGCCAGAGCCCAGCAGGTCGAGGCTGCGGTGGCCGGGAGCAGCCACTGCACTCCAGTTTGGGCAACAGAGTGAGACTCCAACTCAAAAAAAAAAAAGAAACTATAACTACAATATTGCTGCTATAGAATGTCTTGCAAACAGTGACCGTCTCCCTTCCCCACACCTTCATCCCATTCCTACTAGAAGAGCATGTCCTAGAGATTAAAAGTGAGGGTGCAACCCTGATTCGGTCATGTACTTCGGGCTGTATACTCTGGGCAAATCACGCATCTCTCTCTGCAGTGTTCCCATTTGTAAACAAGGATACCAGTGCTGTCTACCTCAAAGGATTGTAGTGAGGAATAAATGAGATAAAGCATACTGAGCACCTAGCACAGTAATTGGTAAAGAAGCCATCAATTAAGGTTACATATCATCATCATCCTTTTTTTGTTTTTGTTTTTGTTTTTGAGTCGGGTTCACTCTATTGCCCAGACTAGAATGTAATGGCACGCTTACAGCTACCACAGCCTTGACCTGCTGGGCTCAGGCAATCCTTCCACCTCAGCCTTCCAAGGAGCTGAGACTATAGGTGAGTGCCACCATGCCTGGCTAATTTTTTGTAGAGACGAGGCCTCTCCATGTTGCCTAGGCTGGTCTTGAACCCCTGGGCTCAGGCAATCCTCTCACCTTGGCCTCCTAAAGTGCTGGGATTATAGGAGTGAGCCACTGCGCTTGGCCATCATTATCTTTTTCTGTGTGTGTGTGTGAAAGCAGGATTTATTGAGAGGACAGAAAAGCTCCCACAGTGGGAGGGGACCTGAAAGGGTTATCTTTTTAATTATATGTACTACCAGATTTAGATGACTTAAGGCACAGACTCTCTCATAGTTTGCAAAGCTCCTCAGTGACCTTGAAAGGCTTTTTAACAGTAAGTGAAAGGAGTCACTTTCTGTCTTCATGTTAACTAGTAAAGTCTAAGTCTATGGGATAATCCAAACTTGGTTTTTTTTGTTTTGTTTTGTTGAGTTGGAGCCTCACTCTGTCGCTCAGGCTGGAGTGCAGTGGCATGTTCACAGCCACTCCAGCATTGACCTACTGGGCTCAGGCGATTCTTCCACCTCAGCCTTCCAAGTAGCCGGAACTACAGGCACACGCTACCACACCCAGCTAATTTTTTATTTATTGTAGAGACAAGGTCTCACCAAGTTGCCTGGGCTAGTCTTGAACCTGCAGCCTCAGGCAGTCCACTCATTTTGGCCTCCCAAAGTGCTGGGATTACAGGCTGGGCCACCAAGCCCGGCCAAAATATGTTTTAAATGTCTCCCTCAATGGTGGGGTACTTTGTAAAGGTTAAAGATAATAACCATGTACCCTCATACACAGAATTCCATACTAAAGGTTCTCTCTGTGGCTCACAGAACAGGTACATATACGATATACAATCCAACTTTCATTTCTCTTAATTTCCTCCACACGACAATTGCTGCCACTGCTGTTTCTAGTATTCTGTAAGATGGAAGGAGGAGATGACAAGTGGGTCTTGTGTAATGGGCTCCCTTTCACCCACAAACCTTGGTGACCAGTCAGAGACAATGGCAAACGATCCTACAGGCACACCCATTTCTTTGTCAAACATCTAGTTGGAACTGTTTATCTGGGAAAGTTCAGGAAGGCTGTTTATCACTGAGGTGCAAGACAAAGGAAGATTTGATAAAGCTACATTTCAAAATTGAATGCAACTTTAAAGAATAAACACAACAGGCTATTTAAAAACACAAATCTAATGAAATCCAAGGATGGGGCACTCTTAATAACCTGGATAATATCTAAAGCTTACCTCTTTTTTTTTTTTTGAGACAGGATCTCAGTCTGTTGCCCAGTCTGCTGCAATGGCACACTCATGGCTCACCACAGCCTCAAACTCCTGGGCTCAAGCTAGCCTTCAGTATCAACCTCCCCAGTAGCTGGGACTACAGGCACATACCACCATACCGGGCTAATTTTTTGATTTTGTTTTTGTAGAAATGAGGTCTCGCTATGTTGCCCAGGCTGGTCTTGATCTCGTGGATCCAAGCAATCCTCCTGCCTCAGCCTCTCAAAGTGTTAGGATAACAGGCGTGACCCACTGTGCCTGACCTTCATTTTTATATTCATACAGAAATATGCATACTCTGAGGCATGAGTATGCAAAACCAAGAAAATACCTTTCCTACGCCTTCAGAACTGAGGTATATGGAAAGTTGCTTAATGCAATAAGTGAAATGGAGCAGATGGCAAAACTTTCCTACATCAAAAAAATAGCTGCTATGATGTACACTTTTTTTTTTTTTTAAGTTGGAATCTCACTCTGTCACCCAGACTAGAGTGCAGTGGCCGCTCCCGGCCACCGCAGCCTCGACCTGCTGGGCTCTGGCGATCCTTTCGCCTCAGCCTTCCAAGTAGCCGGAACTACAGGCGCACGCTACCATGCCCGGCTAGTTTTTGATTTATTGTAGAGATGAAGTCTCGCCAAGGTGCCCGGGCGGGTCTTGAACCCGCGGGCTCAGGCAATCCACTCGCCTCAGCCTCCCAAAGTGCTGGGATTACAGGCTGAGCCACCGAGCCTGGCCATAACGTACACTTTTAAAAACTAAAAATTTCACCATTCTTTCAGTGTTTGTCTCTCTACTGCAATGATTTCCAATCAGAACTCTCAAACATCTTTAAAATACTTCTGGGAATGTCACAAAATCCCTCATCACCAAAAAACATTTTTTTAAGTGGATTTTATTTTCCAAAGTATGTCAAAGAGCACTTTTAAAAAAGAGAATAAAAGAAGTAAGGATAATGGCAAATAAAAAGATGGTGTCAATATTAAGAAGTATGGGAACTACTGCTTTTCTGAAATAGTTACTACTGGATAAAGAAACAAACAAAACCCCAGATTTCATACCCAATCTGATGTATATAAAAGCATGGGTATGAATTATAATTGTATTTCTGCTAATGAATTTAGAAGTACATGTAGACTTATAATACCCTAGAAGATATGTCAAGAACCTTAAGTGCAAAATGTAAATCATACACAGCTTGTATCATACAGTTTCAAAAAAACAGTTTCTGTGGTAAAGAGATTTTTAATATCTTAACTTTTACCTGTGCACTAAACTTTATCAGCACCATATATTGGTTTGGAGTAGAGTCTCTGATGATTTTCATTTGTTCAATTACTTCATTAAATGGGGCGACAAACTTCATAAGGTCATGACTGGTCATTGTAGCAGGGACTGTGAGAATACACAGCATGGCACTGCGCCTCACATCTTCTTTTAAGGAGGTCATCTTACTAATAAGACAATAATTAGACTGTCTTGAATAGATGAGGTATGGTTAGTTCAAACAACACTAATTAGACAACTTTTATGTCCAAGAAAATAGGAAAAAATAAAACTTCACACATCAAGTTAAACAATGCAGAATCCCTTGAACACATCTGCAGTAGAGCTTAAGGCAAGTTTTAAAACGGCCTCTATTATATCCCCCCACCAGAATTTGTAACCTTCAGTTAAAGGTCTGGTATAGTTAAAAATCCACATTAGACAAGTTTACAGTTTGTGTTTTATTCTCATCAATGTTTGAGTAATACTCTGTCACTGGGTAACTTAAGAAGCACAACTCTAGCCGTAGACTTCTCTTAAAGGGCCTAGAAGAATAAAAGTTCTAAATATAAGACAGAATTCTAAATCATGAGGATGTGATTGAAGATTACAGAAAGTGTTGCTGGGTTGGAATAGCTGGAATAGAGGAGAAAGAAAAACTTCCCACAAGCAATTTGCTGTGATCCAAAATGGCTACCTAAGTACTTGTTGTTTTCCCAGTAAGGACCTGGCAAAGGAAGTCAGGACAAGAACAACTTCTAAGATATCATCTACCAATTATTTAAGGAGCTAACGGCTCAGCTTGTGGATTATCTAGCCAAATGCTTTCCTTTCTTGGGCCCCCAGCAAGCTTTGGACCCCAGAAAAGAGTAAAAAAAGGTGACAAAATTGTAATTAGTTAACTAACTTCTTAGGCACTTCTTCCTCCCCATACCCAGGCACTTCTTTAGTAAAATTTTGGTGGGGGATATAAAACTACAACGATGCTGTGAACCTTATTATTTTCTTTTTTTGTCATCCCTTCTTTTAATTCCCTAATCACCTTCCATGACTACCTGCTAAGGGAATATTTTCCTAGGTATTTTCTTAACTGTACTTATACACTTTTCTTTTTCTTCTTTTTTTCTTGAGTCTGAGTCTTACTGTCACCCAGGCTGGAGTGCAGCGGCACACTCATGGCTACCGCAGGCCTGATCTCCTAGGCTCAGGCAATCCTATTGCCTCAGCCTTCCAAGTAGCTGGAACTATAAGCGTGCACTACCACGCCTAGCTAATTTTTCTTATTTGTTGTAGAGTTGAGGTCTCACCAAGTTGCTTAAGCTGGTCTTGAAACCCTGGGCTCAGGTAATCCTCTTGTCTTCCGCCTTCCAAAGTGCTGGGATTACAGGCATGAACCACAGCACTGCGCCTATACACTTTTCTTTTATAAGGAAAAACTTTGGTGCTATCTACAAGATTAACCAAATGTAAAACATCTAAGACTTCTCTAACATACAATACATGAAAGTACAATCTTTTTGAAGCTTAAAATATCCTCTTCCCTTTAGGGCAAGAGAGTTTTCTCTACCCTAAGGCAAAAAAAATAGAGCAACCCAAAAGGAAAAAGGATTTTCTTACTTTGTTTTGTATAGATGCATAATACCATGAACTATTTCAACTGATGGATTTCCACTGAAGAAAGAAATCTGGTCAGGAAGTTGCTTGGATGGAGAATCTGGAGCAGCTTTTATTCGTTCTTTACTTTGATCTCTACTTCTCTGTGCAGTGGGGGTTGCCTCTGAAGACTTCCTTTCTTCTATTACAGCTTTCAGTTCATCTTTCACCAAAAAAAAAAATAAAAATTAGCAGACTATAAAGAGGAAATATGTTGAAGGATTCTAACTAGATTAAAATTTCAAATCAGAATAAGCTTTGACAGAGAAATTGGAATGTACTGCACAAGAACTATATTCATAAAACAGCTGAGTTACGGTAGCATCTTTAACTTTCTCTGCCTCATAAAAATCTCATTAACACTCTCAGAAACTCAAGGATGGCTATTATACTCAGCAACACCATAATATAAGCAGATGTCCTCTTTCATGCAATCCTAAGTGGAATAAATATTCAGGGCTATTAAGTTTGAAAACCAAACACACCAGTTCTGACCACCTCCGTGTTAGTGTTAGAGACGCAGTACTGTATATATCTACTTCCCCAGTTGAAACCGGCTGGCAGAACAAGGGAAGACATAACATGTATATCTGGATATACTCAGGGTCTGCCACTGAATTAGGTAGTGAGAAGCCCTCCCCTACCGAATAGAGTTGTCAGACCAGCTTGTCAGAATTAATTTGGAGCCAGCTCGGTGACTCAACCTATAATCCCGTGCCTTTGGGAGGTTGAGGTAAGTGGATTGCCTGAGCCCACGGGTTCGAGACCCGCCTGGGCAGGCGAGACCTCATCTCTACAATAAAATCAAAAAATTAGCCAGGCATGGAAGCGCGCCTGTAATTCCGGCTACTCAGAAGGCTGAAGCGGAAGGATTGCCAGAGCCCAGCAGGTTGAGGCTGCGGTGGCTGGGAGTGGCCACTGCACTCCAGTCTGGGCGACAGAGTGAGACTCCAACTCAAAAAAAAAAAAACAAAAAGAATTAATTCGGAAGAAATATTTGGAGATACTAAAATGTGCCTTAATGACTTCATATAAAGCACACAAGCAATGAAAAATATATCTATACTAGAGGTCAAAATCATGGGTTCATCAAACAAGTGTAAAACAGGCGAGCAGGGGTTCACATTACAAAAGACAGTCCAGGGTTTTAGAAAGCATACCTGGGCTGGACTTCATGGTCTCAATGATCACATCTGTCATTTCTCGACGGCCAAGATGCTGATGGATAATGGCTGCTTTCTCCCCTGGTGACTTCCCTTCTAAACAAGCTACAGCTGAAGCTAGTGTCTTCTTTTTGATCTCCTCATCAGACATTTCCCCAGCTAAAGAATATATAAATGATTAATACCTGATTATAAAACAGGCTCCTCTCCATTCTCAAATTATCCATTCATAGGCTTCCCTTTTCTTTCTGCTGCCTTCCCCAAGACGATAAGAAGCCTTAGCAGTATCCATTTCACTCACCTCTGGGACTCCTGCAGTGCCCAGTAATAATCAATAAACAGCCAGTACAATATACTCAGAAATGCAAGGCATTTCTAGTGGAATGATGCACTTTTTGGGGAGGTTTTGAGTTGGAACCTCACTCTTGCTCACACTGGAGTACAGTGGCACACTCATGACCATCACAGCCTTGACCTGCTGGGTTCAGGCAATCCTTCCACCTCAGCCTTCCAAGTAGCTGAAATACAGGCACATGCCACCATGCCCAGCTAATTTTCTGATTTATTGTAGAGATGAGGTCTCATCAAGTTGCCCAGGCTGGTCTCAAACCCGTGGGCTCAGACAATCCTCTCACCTTGGCCTCCCAAAGTGCTGGCATTATAGGCATTAGCCACTGGGCCCAGTGAAATGATGCACTTTAAAGCAAATCAATGAGAGTGAGAGTCTTAGAGAAGTTTCAACAGTGATTACACACTGATGAACTAACATTTTAGTAGCCAGGTGCAGTGGCTCAAGCCTGTAATCCCAGCACCTTGGGAGGTTGAGGTGAGAGGACTGCCTGAGCAACAGGGTGAGACCTCGTCTCTACAATAAATAAAAAAATCAGCCAGGCATGGTGGTGCATGCCTGTAGTTCCGGCTACTTGGAAGGCTGAGATGGAAGGAACGCTGGAGCCCAGCAGGTCAACGCTGGGGTGGCTCTGAGAGTGCCACTACACTCCAGCCTGGGCGACGGAGTGAGACTCCAGCTCAAAAAACAAACAAACAAACATTTTAGTAACACCTGGTAAAGTGAAATTCTGTGCTTATTCCAAAATGAAGGTATCAAGTTCATTAATAAAAAGTTTCAAAAATTTTAGGTGTAGTCTTAAACATCCTGAGTTACCCTTATGATATGAATAAAGCCATGAAAATCTGTAACTACCATCTTAAATCAACAATGCACATTAAAAAGGAAAAGGAATTTGGAGGCTTGACTGAAATATCCTTAATACAAGCTCTGTCAGGGCAGAAACCAGGTCTGTTTTGCCCACCACTGTATTTCCAATACTCAGACCACAGTGCTTAGTACACAGAGGGAGTTCTCTAAATATCTGTTGAATAAATGACTCCTGGGTAACCCATGTAGATGTCTAAATGTGGCTAATGTTAATTCAGTTGACTTCAGAACTTAGAAGTTGCTTTTAGTCTTTGAAGGGTGCACAAAACCCATTAATTCGTAATTCAATCTTTAATGTGCAGCTTCAAACTTCATGTATGCAGGGAAGTTTCCAATGACACCATCCCTATCTGCCCAGGTCCCACTTTTCAAACTAAACAAATTTTCTTGTAATAGTTTTCCACTCGGTTTCTCCTTTCCTTTGCAGCACCTATCACAGCTATAATTCTACATTTATTCTGCACTTAATGTATCTGTCTCCCCCACTGCCCTTAAAGCAGAGACTATGTCTGATTCTGTACACAAGGACAGCTCCGGCAAATAGGGAGCATTCAATAAATATTCATCGGATGAATGTCATTATTAGGTAGTTATCTGAGGGCCAAAGAACAGTCATAGCTGCATTTCCCCAGCTGTGTGGCTGGTTGAGAAGAGCTCACACTCAAGTCCCGACCCCTGAGGTTAGAATCCCAGTTTCATTAGTTACAGATAACCGTGAGCAAATCATTTCATCACCAAATCTCAGTTTCCCAATTTGTAAAAGGTGCGTACCGCCCATCTAGCTCATAGGATTGTTGCAGACATAAAAAATACAACGCCTACAAGGTGTTTCGTATAGTGCTGGTATATAGGAAGTATCCAGATTTTCGTTATTATTACTATTGTTACAGGGCACCTAAACGGATATCTTTGCAAAGAAAAACAATGTAATTAAAACAGGGCCCGTCAGCGTCGCTGGGGGACCCAGTGCCTGCCTCCACGAAGCCTAGAGGAAGGCGAGGAAGACACACACACGAGTCGACCCTTAGGACGGAGAGGAGGACGCCCGGGGACTAGCAGAACGCCCGAGGGAAGGCACAGGGAGGAGGAGGGAAGGCCCTCCGGGAGGGAGGGAGGAAGGGAAGAGAGGGACCCCAGCCACCTCTCAGCTTCTTCCCGGGGCAACAGCCCTCGCCGAGGCCTCCCCCGGCCCGGCCCGGCCCGGCCCCGGCTACTGGGACGCCGGCGAGGCCGCGGGACTCACCGGCGGCGCTGAAGCCGAAG